TGTGTGTTGTATAATTAAGCAATTACACTTGGAAAAATAATGGTGGTGTGATTGAGTGGGGTAAGAGGAGAACAGATGCTTTGTCTGAATTTGTTTCCTGAGTTTGCATAAAAGCAAAGCAGCAAATGACTCCAATTCAGAACCCACAATTCTGTCAATAAAATACCGCTCAGCATGTTCACTGTTATGGAAAACGTTGCTTTATTTGCTTACCATTTAATGGTCTGGACGGTGTCTCTTGTGAAATGTTCGATGCCATACGTGGCCGTTTGGCGTTACGGGGTTGCACTGTTTGGGTTTCCCTACCACGCATTTCCCATCGGCTGTTTTTGTGGTGCCTCCCAGGTGAGACGGGACACGACGTCCATTTCAGTCCCCCCTGCAGGATCACGACTGACACATGGCCGTTGTTTTTGGTCCTAGGTGGTGGGCCTGTACCGGCTGTGTGGCTCGGCAGCGGTTAAGAAAGAGCTTCGGGAGGCGTTTGAGAGGGACAGCAAGGCCGTGACGCTGTGCGAGAGCCAGTACCCGGACATTAATGTCATAACCGGTGACGCCTTTACTTGATTTTCTTTTAATGTACAATTGTGCTGTGTTGGTAAGGTACCTTTTACAAGGTGAAATTGTGCTCTGAACCAATTTTCTGTTGTTATTTAACAAGCTGTTGCTGCTTTGTTAGGTGAGAGTGAGCACAGGAGCCTTGAGTGTGTAAATAGGAATCAGCAGTGATTTGGAGGGTATGAAGAGAGCTGCTTTCAGTAACTGCTCCACCAGTCGCAGAGGGAAGCTGCAGTCTGAAAGGAGCCGAGGTCCTAGAGCAGGTTAAACCTCCGTTGTTGGTCTGTATGGAGCAGATCCCGTAAAACCCAGCTGTGATCTCAACTGTGCTGGGTGCTCTGCAGCGTGATCCAAGGGGCATCTCAGACCTGTGGTTCTCCCTCGGTTGGAGATTGCAGGTTTTTTGGAAACAGATTTCCCATCATCTTGTGCAGGCCAGTTAGAGCTGCGGGAGAATGCCTTCATTTGATCAGCTGCTTCTTTTAAAACATAAATAAGCAGCTTTCTCCTGCTGACTGGAGCGGCCCTTTGCTTTACAGCAAGGTCCTGGCAGAGGTGAGGAGCACTGGGAGCCCAGGAGCAGGAAGGCTTGATGCAGTCTGCACCTACGTCAGGTCCTCTTGCAGTGCAACTCCTGAGCAAACACTGCACAACTGAAGCAAGTTGTTGAGTGGGGGTTTTTGTTTGCTTAAAAGTGGAACAGTTTTATAACTATTGATACTTGTTATGTAAACCAAAGCTGATTTAATTTCAGGCATCACTGAGTAAACCAATTGCTCCAGGAAATTAAGCAGGAACATTCATTTCCTATATACCCAGGGATGGAAAATGCAACAACAGTAGTCAGGGTATAAATTTTCTGTGCCAAAGCCCTTTCTGTAACATCCAACATGTTGGATGCTCTTTCCATCAGAAATTTATGCTGTGGTGGTTAAATAGAAAAGTGTGCTTCAGTCTTTCAATATACCTTGCTGCAACCTCGTTGGTGATGGTGAACTTTTGGTGATCAGGCAGGTCCTGCTGGACCCCTGGTCCTTTTTTGGTTTGTGCTACTGAAAGGTAATTTTTTACATTCAAAATTTGTATTGTAAGCATAAAAAGGCTACAGCCTTGGTGTCTGTCTTATGGGAAGACCACTGATATGCTTTTGTATATGTTATATTGCAAGATTTCACTTACATGCTGCTTTGCTTACAAGGAAAAAACAGTTTTAAGACATTATACTGGGGAAAAAACCCTGTTCTTTGCCCTGGTGGCCTTGCGGCTGTGCTGCGTGGTTGCGCGTGTGAGTGCTGTGTTGGAAGGACTGAGTAAGGATGGGGAGGTTTGCACCCCTAACTTCTGCTGACCAAAACACAGCCCCCTCTCCAATCCTGAGCGGTGCGGTCTGGGCTGCAAGGGGAGCCTGCAGTTTTTGCTGACAGCTGAGGTACTCGCTGTGCTCGGTGCTAGCAATGAAAGAGCCGCAAAACCTCTCTCGCATGTGCTGTGGGAGCTGGGCTGAGAGGGAATGTTCCCCCTGGTGCGTTGCTGCTGTATTTGCAATGCTGAGGCCGATGCACGTGATTCCTACTTCTGGAAGCCAAAACACGTGCTCCATAAAATATGAGTCCTCAGCATGAATCTTGGCTGATTTGAAGAGAAATGCTGCCCTGTGTCCTTTCTGCAATTCGAGTAGCGCTGCTTTTCCAAAAGATTTAGAAGTTTTTTGTTTTGTTTTGTTTTTATTTTGACAGCTATCCAACAACTAAAGAATGAACATTTAATGATTTAAATTTTGACTGAGAAAGGCTCTTGGGATTGGCACAGGCTTACACACAATTAAGTGTGCTCATGGCTCAAACTGAAGCGTGCAGCCAGTTTTTGGAACTGACCGGTCGTCGTCGTGTTGCCTTGAACAGATGTTCACGTCCACGTGAATTCATCTCTCTGCATAAAGCACGCAGCACTGTTAACAGCTCAGTGGGTCAGAAAAATGAGTAACTAATGAAGTGGATGGCAGTTTCTGCTGGCTGTCTAAAGTTGTTGTGTGTGGTTTTGTCGAGGGGGATGTGCCAGTGAGCTGGCAGCAGTGGGAAGCATAGATCTGTGGAAAAAAATAACAGCGGCCTCCTACAGGGCTAATTTAGCTGAGTGAATGGGAAGAGGATTCAGAAAGGTCAAGGGGCATTCGTGGCTCCCAAACTATCCTGTTATTCAGGGCCAAACAGCTCCCAGAAACACAGGAAAGTGAATGTGCAGCTTGGTAAAGGCGGCTGTTCTTGTCTCCTGTGAAGGTGTCCTCAAGGACTATCTGCGGGAGCTGCCGTCTCCCTTGATAACCAAGCAGCTCTACGAAGCTGTGCTGGATGCCATGGTGAAAAACCCCTTGAGGATGACGGGGAGCGGCTGTGAGAACGACGCGAGTGACTCCGAGCACACCGCAGCCCTCCTGGACTGCCTGCCCGATGTTGAGAAGGTGAGCGGTGCCAGCGCGTTCGAGTGGATTGCGTGCTTCAGAAAGTAAGGGAGCGTTTTCACAGGGGGTGTGAACTGTGTGACAGTGTGTACACCCGTCTCCTGATTTAATGCTCCACTTGATGCTCCGTGTCTTTGAAAATACTTCCATGCTGCGACTGATTGGATGGTGTGCATTGCTGGATTTATTCTAGTTTGCATTTCATATTGTCTCCATGAAACTGAATGAAAAGCTGTGATTGCTGTTTTTGCATCGTTAGGTCAAAGATTATTCCTGTGTGGTGTCCTGCTTCTTTTCTATGGAACTTTGTCAGCACCACCTTCCTCCAGTGTTTTGTTTCCTGAGCAGTTTCTTGTTCTTTCAGGCTACTCTGAAGATGCTGTTGGATCACCTGAAGCTGGTGGCTTCTTACCACGAAGTGAATAAGATGACGTGCCAGAATTTGGCTGTGTGTTTTGGGCCCGTGTTACTGAGCCAGAGGCAGGAGACCACCAACCATAACAACAGAGTCTTCACAGATTCAGAGGAGCTTGCTAGTGCCCTGGACTTCAAAAAACATATAGAGGTTCTCCACTATTTACTCCAGCTGTGGCCAGGTACTGTGTCATGAACCTGATCAAGGGAAAGTGTCAAACCACTGCTGTGTGTGTTTACTGTGTGACTGTGAACGTTAATTTACAGGATGCCCAAGCAGCGTCAGAGCTTTTAAAACACGAGGTACCTATGGCATCAATAATCTAGAGAAATCATGATAATTTTGTAATCTATTATTTATATTGGGTCACTTTGTTTAATGGAAAGCTTGTTGTTATAGTTGCTTATTATGCTGCCAGATGGTAGAGTTCGAGTGTAATGTAAGAAGTGGTAAGAAGTGCTTTGTGTGAGTAAAGACACTAGAACAAACAAACCCAGTTGACAGTAAGGTTTCCACATCTGAATTAGGGGGTTTGGGGAGTGTTTTGTTTGGGTTCTTTGGTTGGTTGGTTAGCTTTTTGTTGGTTTCTTCTTTGTTTGTTTGTTTGGGTTTTCTTTCTTTCTCCTGCTTTGACCATTCGAGATTATCTATGTATGGAAGTCAGTTGTTTGCTCTCTGAGATAACTGAAAGGTTACTTTACTTCTGCCCTTGTAATTTGACAGAGTTGGGAACATCCTTACAGGATTAAGGAGAAATGTCTATAAAACAAAACCCAAACCAAAACACCCTAAGTACCTTCTAGCTCCCACTTCCAAACTTAGAGGTCAATTTGCTTTCACTCAATTTGGGGTCATTTCTCAATAAGAAGGGGAAGAGGTGAAATTCTGGTCTTCCTAATAAACTGCCAAAGTGGAAGTGAAGGGAACTTTCTACTCAGACGTGCTTTTCAAATGGGAGGTGATTGCATGGTGCTCATGCTTCCCCTGGTATTCAGAGAGGCATAAGCCCATGGAAACAGGATGACACCTGGAGCCCTGTGCTTCAGCGAATCCCTGTGCATTGCACCTGAGCTGCAGCTTTCTCTTGCGCAGGCGGGAGCAGACGAAGACATCACAGCTTTTCAGTTTAACAGGGAGAGTGTGAGGGTAATGCTGTGAAATAGTCGACTCACCATTGCATCCAATGGGGTTAGTTTTGTTTTCAGATGGTTTCTGGCCAAACACTTGTTGAAAGCTACCTAACCATAGGAATAGCCTACAGAGGTCTTTTAAGTGCTCAAATGTGTCTTGTGGGGTACCAGATGCTGGTTAGTACAGAGAATATTCCAGGTGAGACGGTGATTTCAGCCCCTTCTCATTCCTCTTACAACAGCCTCCTCCTGGGGACTGTCGCTGGGCTCCTTCCTACAGCCACAGGCCTTGTTGGCCAACGTGGCTGTGAGCTGGGGTGTGTCGCTGCTGTGTGGGCTGTGGTGGCCAGCGAGCCCCTGTGCTGTGTGGTCTTAGCTGTGCCATCGGGGGTGTCAGTCTGATTTGCAGTGGTTTGGTTGTGCTGGGCATTGCTAGCCACGCTGTCCTGGTTTCGGCTGAGCAGGAAAGGATGTGGCTGGCTGGGCAGCCTGAATCGCTGCTTGTGGACAATGTCAACGGCTGTGCTTTTTACGTTTTTTCTGTAATTTGCTGCCCTGATGGTGGCCTCCAGTGACAGCTGTATCAGGTACGTGACCACACTCTGGGTCAGCACTGCCACAAAGCTGCTGGCTGTGAGCTCTGCTCACCGCAGCCCCACAGAAAGCTGCTCTGCCTGGAAATAAGAGGAGGGTAGGGTTAGTTTGGCATATGGTGCACTTTGTGAGGCAACGGAGGATGCTTCTGCTCCCTTGTCAGTGCAGCTGGGCAGCTCCAAAGCTGCTGACCACCAGAAATCAAAGTAAGTTTTCAGTCAGGTCAGTGAGCCAGCACAGGAGAGATGGGAAATGTGAGTGGAGGAGGAGGGAGACCATGAGCTGTTTGGGCAGCAAATGCTGCGCAGGAGCTCATCGTGAAGCCCTGGGGATGGTCTGTGGCGTGGCTGTGGTGGTAAACAGAAGCAGGCAGATGTAGCTTTGACCATAGGGGTTACTGTGGAGGAGGCAGGAGTAAGGTAAGTAGCAGAGTTTTCCTTCACCTGGAGGAGCAAGCTGAGCGCTGTCCCTCGGCTTGCAAGAGCTGTGCAGGATGTGATTCTGTGATTATGTTGTGCTACAATGGGGGCAAAATACAAATGCAGAAATGTCAGCAGGTGAACGCTGTACAGTGTAAACAGGACAGCTGAACCCAAAGGAAGGGTCACAGTCTGGTCCCTTACATTTAATCTCCTGTAGATGGGGACAGTTTGATAATCAACGTGTTGTGCAATACTTCAATTTCCGTATTTTTCCAACCAAACACAAATAGTCTCTGTTCGGTTAGACCATATAATACTAGCAGGTTATTTTTAGCCCATGGCCCTTGGTTTAATGGAACATAGCCTAAACAAAAGGGCTTTTGTTATAGTAAGGAGACGGGAAAAAATGAGTTATCGCTTGTTACTGTGCAAGACATAAAGTAGGACTCAGATCCCCTGGAGAGACCTGCGGTGTGGACCCAGAAAGAGCCTTTGCACCGGTGTGTGAGGACCCCAACGAGGAGCGGGTGAGACTGGGAACCGCACGGGTTTGTGTGCACTACATTTTCAACAGCGAATGGGAATAGGAGGTCTCTGCCCCTAACTATGAGAGCTTTAAAATCAAAGGAAGTTTTGCAGCTCAGTTGCTTAACAGACACAGGTCAGTAAAGTTATTCGTGCTGTTTACCGTAGGAAGCCAGTAGCAGTGGAGGAGACTGTTAGCAACCTGTGCTGTGTAACCGCCAGCTCAGGTAACGCTGCCATCAAACCTGTTCGAGTGTAATTCTGCCAGGGGGTTGTGGCTGCTTGGAAGAATTAATGCACACGAGCTTCTTCTAATAGCACAGAACGTGAGGCCAAAAGGGAAGCACAGGAGTTCAGCTCTTGGTGCATCCTTGGCTTCTGTGGATGCTTCTGTGCAATGGTGTTTTCGTCGTGTTTTAACCTCGTTTGCTGTGCCTGCTTTCTGTGGTTCCTCCTTTATCCTGGACGGAGTGTGTGAGCTGAGCTGTTTGCTTTCCTTTGACCCAGAGCTGATGGTGATAAACTCATGTGGTGAGTTTTGTCGGTGCTCTGGGAGTGTCTCATTTTAGATGGGCTCCTCCGTTGCAGTTTGAATCTGGCATGGATCTTCAAACCTGAGCTTTGACGGCAGTTTTTCTGATTATTTGATGTCCAACAGCGGCAGAAGAGGCAGTAGTGGGACGTGTTGGCTGTAAGCTCGCATGTATCCATGCATGCTGCTCGCGTGTGACGTCGAGGGAGGAGAGCGGGCACCTCCTGTGGACGGTTCTTGTTGCAGTGCAGGTTCAGCCCTGATGCTGGTTTGTCTTCTCTCTTCTAGTCCATCCCTCACCTGCCAAAGAGCCAGCACATCCGGATGCGTTTCCCGAGCACCCATCCTCCCTCAATTACCTGAGACCCAAGAGGCAGAGACCTCAGATGCTGAACCTGAGTGGTACCGAGATGTGTGGCGTGCTCAGACCAAGGCCGGCAGGGCTGGACAGCCCCTCGAGCAACCGCTACGCCGGAGACTGGAGTGGCTGTGGGGAAAACTACTTCCTGAGCCCCAAGGACTGCCTGGGCGAAGCAGACTACGATGACGTCCCCTCGGAGGACACGGAGAGCGGGGATGACAGCAGCAGAGCCGAGGAGCCGGACGCCCCGGTGAGGCTCCCGCCGCCCATCCCCAGAGAGCGCGCGTTTCAGAGCTACCTGACAATGCAAGCCATAGATTCTGCGGTGGATCACCGAGCAAACCTCAAGGACCTGCAGGAAAGCATTGACACTCTGATAGGAAACCTGGAAAGGGAACTCAACAAAAACAAGCTAAATATGAGTTATTAAATCCTGTCCTGTACGATGCCTCCTCCTGGCGCCTCCATGCCCCTCGCCGGGCTTCCCGCAGCTGCGTGAGGTGGGACAGTGCCCCCAAACACCCTGTGGTGAGGCCACGGCCCACCTTGTGTTACCCAAACACCAAGCCATTCCGTTACACCTCTGCCTTTTCATTAGAAGGTGTTGGCCTGATTTTGGTGTGGGAGACAAGCTCAGAGACCATGAGGTGATTCCACGTGGTGTCATTGCTCCCTAAAAACACCACGCACTTAGGGGGTCTGGGCAGTACCTGGCAGAAGGTAAAGCAATGTCTGCTGCTGGTGGCAGCAGAACTCCTCATCCCAAAATCTGCGGTACAGATGTTCCTTTCGGAAGAGGACGAACGCTGCTTGGCCTGAGTTTCACAGCATGGACTGAAGATAGACTCATTTTATGATATATGCAAATGGCTGCTATGGAAAAATGCTTTTATATATATATATATAATA